CCAACAAAAAATTATCCAACATGCTCTTTGCTGTTTTCAGTAAAACTTCTAAACTATTATCCACAAGATGCACATCTCTCTCTTTGTCTCATTCCTTTGCTTTTACACACATATATACACTATTTAGGGACAAGGTTAAAGAAAGAATTAGAGTGAGGCAATAACAACTAAACTTTAAAAATGAATTATATCCTTGAGTTTTCGTGTGTCAAACTGAAGACTGAAAACACTTAAAATCAAATTATTCGAGGTTCCTTCATAATTATTTATCAATAATACATTTCAAATAATAAAATACATGTATTTTTTATTTTCATTTAGCTATTATACATTTTAAGTCACTTTAATTAAGGAACAATAATTTTTAGAAGTTTTCAAGCAGTTATTATAAACTTTTAAATATATTTTTATACATTTCTTGTTTAAAAAGCTTATCTACACTCCATTTAAGAAAAAGTAAATATTAGCATTTTCTAAATAATAGATGTGGCACATCACACAATGCTGAATGATAATCCTACAGGTGCTCTAAGTTTCAAAATGTGGGCCAGGCAATTGGCTCACACCTGTAAATCCAGCACTTTGGGAGGCCAGGTGGGCAGATCACAAGGTCAGGAGATCGAGACCATCCTGATCAACATGGTGAAACCCTGTCTCTACTAAAAATACAAAAAAAACAGTTGGGCATGGTGGTGCGTGCCTGTAGTCCCAGCTACTAGGGAGGCTGAGACAGGAGAATTGCTTGAACCTGGGAGGCAGAGGTTGCAATTAGCCAAGATCCACATTGCACACTTTAGCCTGCCTGTCAAGTGGTTCTGCCTCAAAAAAAAAAAAAAAAAAATTAAGCATGACACTAATTCACTTTTAATGAGCAATCATTTTAATTATTTTTAATAGTAAGGTAAGAAAACTTTACAGAATTATAAATGCAAAAATATCAAATCATATAAGTACTTCCTTTACCATATGTAATCTAAAAAATCAAAATACAAACAACTCAAAAGAATTTTTAAAAGTGAAAACTCTTACTAAATAACAAAAGATTCTAAATTTTTTCTTACTGTTTCATTGTTTCAATCTGTACTTCCAATTCAGTTTTTCTATTTTACAATTTTTCTCATAATGACTTTTCAGGCATTGGAAGTTGAAGTGTTTCAAACAACAACTTCCTAAAAAATACATAAAAGTATTCATACTATAATTTTAAAACATTTTTGTTTGCTCCAGATCTCTATAAACACAAATACATTATAAACTGGGGAAGCAAGCAATCTTCCAAAAGTGTGGAACTGAAATACAAACTGTACATGCATGTTGTAGCAGTGCAATTCATAATTGCAAAATGTGGAACCAGCCTAAGTACTTGCATCAGCAATGAGTGGATAAAGAAAATGAGTATATAACCACCATGGAATATACTCAGCCATTAAAAGGAACATCTACGCTTAACCTGGATGAAATTGGAGATACCTATTCTAAGTGAAGTAACTCAGGAATGGAAAACCAAATATCGTATGTTCTCACTCATAAGTGGGGTAAGCTATGGCTTCTTAAAGCATAAGTTTGATATAATGGACTTCAGGAATTTGGGGGAAGGGAGGGAGGGAAGTGAGGGTAAAAGACGCTACACATTGGGTACAGTGTACAATTACTTAGCTGATAAATTGCACAAAATGTCAGAAATAACCACTAAAGAAGTTTTCCAGGTAACCAGAAACAACCTGTCCCCCAAAAACTGTTGAAATAAATAAATAAAGTCAGTGTATACAACTTTGAACAGAAAAATTTTAAAGTAAATATCTATATTGCTATTGTATATACACATGAGTGGAAGTTTCAACTTAACATTTTAAGATGTTGCAACTATTTTTTAAACAATATTTCATAATTAGATAAGTTCTTTTCTTTTTACTGAACTTTCCATTTTACTTTTTTTTTATTTTGCCCTGGCTGAAGTGCAGTGGCACGGTCATGATGGTCCACTGTAGCCTCCAACTCCTGAGTGCAAGGGATCCTCCTGCCTCAGCCTCCTAATACGCTAGGGCTACAAATGTTATGCCATCCCAGCCCCATATATATATACACACATACGTAAAATATATCTAGATATATATGTATATACCATATATATATCTACTATACATATATGTCTACATATATCTATTTTATACATATGGTGTATATACTATTTTATATATATATATATATATATATATATATATATATAGTAGAGACAGCATCTTGCTATGTTACCCAGGCTGGTCTTAGTGAATTTCATGTACTCTATATACAGAGAAGATGGTAACAACACATAAGCATCAGAGGAGAAAGCCCCTGTGGTACACACAGAAACTACCCCTAGTTCCAAAGCTCCATAACATTTGGTGATGCACCTTACTTATCTCTGCTATAAATGGCCTTAGGAATCTATTTTATAGAGTCACCCCATCAACCTTCAAACACTGCTACTGTCTAAAGGGAGACATAGAAATGATAGTATTGGCTTATCATTTAGATACCTGTGAACTCCCACGGTAGGGATTTTTGCTCTGCTTTTGTTCATAGCTGTATTTCTAGGGCCTTGATAGTGCCTGCAGCACAGCACGCACTCAATAAATAGCTCAAATCTATTAACTGCAGATCCACCTAAAGAGCTGTAGCCACTGTGCCTCCTGTATCTGCATTCTACACTTAAAAACACACTGAAGGCAACAATGCCAGTAATTACAAATCAAAAAGCTCAGAAACAGTAATGACAACAATTAACATTTGTTGGGTGCTTCCTTTAACATCATTTCATCCATTTACTGAGCAAAAAATATTTACACAGGCCTTGTATTCTATCTTTCAAGAACTGTTTGTTTAAATTTTTTCACAGTAATATTTTTGATATAATATTAAAAATTTGGTATTTTCATATTTTGTATAAAATAAGCTTTAATATAAATTGTAAGAGTATGTTTATAATATAAGTTAAGACATACAAGTTTTATCAGTAAGAAAAAGAATTTATGTGTTGTGAATGGTATTACCTACTTCATCAGTATAGCATTCCTAGATGTCAAAACTAGTCAGTGATGGAATTTACAACTTCCTAGAGAGTTTTTGAGTTGGCCTACCTTTTCTCTTTGCTTTAGAGAAATGGCACATCTAAGCCACCAGAAGCAAAATTAGGATCTAATTTCAAAGAAGAAATGGGTTAATTCTTCAGTGTGCAGAATTATAGAGCATTTAACATCCTCACCCCTGGGTACTAAATGTCAGAATCATTTGTCTCTAGTACTTTCCAAATCCTCATTTCTTCTTTCATCTCTCCTTACAACACGCAGATATAAAAAAAAATCCCCCTTTTCACCTTTCCTTCCACTGCACTGAAACTGCATCTGAATTAGTAACTAGTGACCTTCTAATTACGAAAAGACCCTGAACCTTTACAAATCCTCCTTGTCCTTGATCTCTCTCTGTAGTCCTTGGTAAAATTTAAGCATTGTGTAGATATGTGATAACATTTTGTTAAACTGTGTTTAGCTCTTCATTGCTGAACTGTTCATTGTTTAGACTTAAAAGATACTGTTTTAAATAATGGTACCCTTACCTTAGGTGAATAGGATAGCAAGCTCCTGCCTTCTGAGACTTATATTCAAGTGAAGAAACAGTTAAAATAAAACAAAACACAACAGCAGTGATAAATGAAAAAATAAATGATAGTTTCCAGTTATCTTTGTTCAGATACCATGAAAAAAGAATTAGGAACATTGATATGATTTTAGGACTAGCAAAAGGAATGGTCAAAAGAAGGCCTCTCTGAAGAGATGTCAATTGAAAAAGATACCTGAATGATTAAAAAAAAGAAAAGAGCTATTGCTTGAGCCAGGGAGAGAGAACATTAAAGCCAGATCTAACTAACAAACAAAAAAACTCAACAAAAAAGCAAAACTTCCATGCATTACAGGAACAGAAAGGAGGGCAGTGCAAAAATATATTTTCTCATTTATCTCTCCCTACAAACACATGAGATAGGGAGTATTATGATCCCCTATTTTATACATGAGGAAATTGAAGCTTAAAGGAGTTAAGCTTATCCCAAGTCACAAAGTTAACAAAATACTATTTTGTTTGCAATACTTTTATATAAGTCTGTTTTTCTTTTCTTATCCCAAGTCTACAAAGGAGATTAACAAAATACTATTTTGTTTACAATAAACTTTATACAAGTCTGTTTTCTTTTCTAAAAGCCTCTAAAATAATTCTATAGCCTTAACATAAGTTCTTAAAATTTAGGATATCAGTCAGACTTTATTTAAAAAATTATTAATTAATCATTGAATAAATATAATGTATTGAAAAACAACAAAGCACTAGAAGTAATTTCAAATTTGTACTATACCCAAAGATATATTTTACATGATGTGTTTATGTCAGCACATAGTTTTTAAATGTATTACTGAGATTAAATGAGGTTAATTGCTGAATAAGAGTCATAGGGTCTAATAACATAAATCAGCATTTTCTCAAACTAGTGTTCCTCAGAACCCAGTTCCAAAAATTGCTCTGTGGGTAAAAAAAGGCCGCTCTGTGTGGTTAAAAATTACAGAGCTCTGATTTCAGCACCCCCTTAGAACCACTCCCAGGCTGCAGAAAGCCTTCTCTCGACCTTTAATTTGCTAACATGGACCACAATCCCAAAGAGAGAATGTATTACCATGTATTACCCTTAATTGATTAGCCAAGCCGAACCTTTTGTTTATTAGCGAGAGAGAGGGCCTTGTCTTCCTTTACAGTAAAGTTCCCGGAAATGCTGATATATTTCAATATGAAAATTTGACTGTTTTATGTAATATTTCAAAAATAAAACATTTAAAGCAAAAGGGTATAGGATTTTCTAGGTATAAACAGCATTAAGAAGAATAAAATTACTATATGAAGCATCATAACATTAATTATATAAACTAAGTACATAAAATATAACTTTTAATTTTAAAAAGAATGAATTTACATACCTGATCTCTAATTTGGGAAGTAAGTTTTCCGTCTAGCTCTGTAAAATGGTCAGAAAGCCTTTGTTTGTAAACTTTGATGCCTTTTTAAAAGCTACAGCTATTTGCCTACTTGCTTCTTTCATCACTACAGCCTCATTCTTATTCATTCTCAATTGCATTCCATACAGCTATCTTGGTTTCTAAGCTCTAAAAAAAAATTAGCAACAGGAATTAAATTATTTCAGAACTCCAATGTTTTATGTAAACATTGTAAAAATATGTACATAGCTGATATGGTTTGTGTATTACTTCATTTCTCACACTGCCATAAAGAAATAACCTAGACTGAGTAATTTTATAAAGAAGAAGTTTAATTGACTCACAGTTCCACATGGCTGGGAAGATCTCAGGAAACTTACGATCATGGCAGAGGAGTGAAGAGGAAGCAGGACTTCTTCACATGGTGGCAGGAGAGAGAGAAGGAGTGAGGGAAGTAAAAGGGGAAGAGAGCCTGTCTTATAAAACCATCAGATCTCCACCAAGAATTCCTCACTATCATGAGAACAGCATACGGAAAACCACCCCCCATGATCCAATCACCTCCTACCAGGTCTCCTAGACACATGGAGATTATAAGGATTCTCATTCAAAATGAGATTTGGAGGTGGGGACACAGCCAAACCAAAGCATTCTGCCCCTTGCCCCTCCCAAATCTCATGTCATCACATTTCAAAACACAATCATGCCTTTCCAACAGTCCTCCAAAGTCTTAATTCATTCCAGCATTAACCCAAAGTCCAAGTCTAAAGTCATCTGAGACAAGCCAGTCCTTCACTGCCTAGGAGTCTGTAAAATAAAAAGCAAGTTAATTACTTCCAAGAAACAATGGGAGCTAGGTATTGGGTAAATGTTTCCCATTCCAAATGGAAAAAATTGACCAAAAAAGGGCAGGCTACAGGACCCATGCAAGTCCAAAATCCAACAGGGCAATCATTAAATCTTTAGAAACTCACAAATAAATCTCCCTTGACTCCATGTTTCCCACCATGCTGATGCAAGGGAGTGGGCTCCATGAAGGTCTTTGGCAGCTTAGCCCTGTGGCCTGCAGGAGTACAGCCCCCTTCCTAGCTGCTTCCCAGGCTGGAATTGGTATCCGGGAGCTCTTCCAGGCACATGGTGCAAGCTGTCAGTGGATCTACCATTCTGGGGTCTGGAAGACTGTGGCCTCTTCTCACAGCTCCACTAGGCAGTGCTCCAATGGGGACTCTATGTGGGGGCTCCAACCCCACATTTCTCTTCCACACTGCCCCAGCAGAGGAGTTCTCCTGAGGCTCTCCCTGCAGCAAACTTCTGCCTGGACATCCAGGTGCTTCCACACATCCCATGAAATCTAGGCTGAGGTTCCCAAGCCTCAATTCTTGACCCTGTGCACCTGCAAATCCAGCACCACATGGAAGTCGCCAAGGCTTGGGAGCATCCACCCTCTGAAAAAATGGCCTAGGCTACATTGGCCTTTTAACCACAACTAGAACGCAGGGCACAAGTCCCAAGACAGTACAAAGCAGCAAGGCCCTAGGCCCAGCCTGAAACCTTTTTCCTCCTAAGGCCTCTTAAGGGTCTGTAATGGAAGGGCACACCATGAAGACCTCTGACATACCCCAGAGACATTTTCCCCATTGATTAACATTTGACTTCTCGTATTTATGCAAATTTCTGCAGACCCTTGAATTTCTCCCCAGAAAATGGGTGTTCTTTTCTATACATGAGGGTCAGGCTGCAAATTTTCCAAACTTTTACGCTCTGTTTCCCTTTTAAATATATGTTCCAATTTCAAACCATCACTTTGGCAGATGCATAAAACTGAAAACTTTCAGAATCAACAAGGTCATATCTTGAATGTTTTTCTTCTTAGAAATTTCTTCTGAATACCCTAAATCATCTTTCAAATTCAAAAGTTCACAGATCTCTGGGGCAGTGAAATACCGTCAGTCTCTTTGCTAAAGCATAGCAAAGAGTCACCCCTTTATTCCAGTTCCCAACAAGTTCCTCATCTGTATCTGAGACCCACCTCAGCCAGACTTCATTGTTCATATCACTATCAGCATTTTGCTCAACACCATTCAACAAGCCTCTAGGAAGTTCCAAGCTTTCCCACATCTTCCTGTCGCTGTCACAGACCATCAGCTGGTGCAACCTCTTGCCAATTACTTGGTTCCAAAGTCACTTCCCACATTTGTGGGTATCTTTCTGGCATTACCACTCTCTGCAGTACCAATTAACTGTGTTAGTCCGTTTTCTCATGCTGCTATAAATACTTGAGACCGGGTGATTGCAAGGATTAGTTTCAATTGACTCCAGTTCCACATGACTGGGAAGCCTCAAGCTTCAATCATGGCAGGCGAGGAAGCAGGGACCTTCTTCACTTGGCAACAGGAGAAAAGAGTGAAGAGCCAAGGGGAAGAGCCTCTTATAAAACCATCAGATCTCACTCACTATATCTTAGAGAACAGGATGGAAACCCACCCCGCTGATCCAATCACCTCCCTCAGGTCTCTCCCTAAACATGGCAAGTTCTTAACTTAAGATTACAATTCAAGATGAGATTTCGGTGGGGACACAGCCAAAATATATGGGTTTGGATCTGTGTCCTACTAAATTCATGTCAAACTGTAACCCCAAGTGTTGGCGCTGGGGCCTGGTGGGAGTGTGGTTAGATATAGAGGTTATTTCTTATGAATAGTTTACAACATCCTCTTGGTGCTGTTCTCTAATGTTGAAGGACTATAAAAAATCGGGTTGTTTAAAGAGTGTGCAGTACCTCCCCTACTTGCTCTCTCTCTTGCTTCTGCTCCCACCATGTGGGAAATGCCTCCCTCCCGCTTGTCTTCCACCGTGACTGCTGCTAAGTTTCCTGAGGCCTCCCAGAAGCTGAGCAGATGCAGAATCATTAGCTTCCTGTACAGCCTGTGGAACTGTGGGCCAATTAAACTTCTCTTCTTTATAAACTATGCAGTCTCAGGTATTTCTTCATAACAATGTTAAAATGGCCTAATACAATAATTCTCTATACAGGTTTTATCAAATGATTCAATAAGATTAATTAAAAAAGCAAAATAGTGAAGAAAGGTGACTTCACCAATGCCTCTCTATAACCTGTTAAAGGATGCAAATTTAAAACATATAATCTATATCAAACCAAATACCTGCATTATTAAAAGATACTAGTATTAGTGATTCTTGTTTCAAACACTAACTTCTTAAAACTTCTGTGATTAACTCAGCTTTTTTTAGTTCACATCTAGAATATTACACATCTTACTAGTTTTAAAAACTAGTTTAAAAAAACACAGTTGAGCTAGAAACAATCTAAATATGTACCAATATTCCAAAGGAATTCTGTTAGCTCCCCAAATATATTAGGACTATTCATTTGAAAGCTTCAAAATCCCAAAAGGAATATGATTAATCTTTAATAAGGCTATAGATGAGATAAACAGATTTATTTACCAAATTTTAATTTACTAGAATTGAGGGCATGTCCTGACACTAAGAGTTACATTAAAGATAATAAATACTACTTTATCCAATAAAAATGGGAATTTATGGGAAGTCATTATTCCAAGACCAAACACGTTTAGACAAAGTGTGAGCTATAACAGTCATAAGATTAGTATTATTATTGAGGACACGTTTCTATCATTGAATGTTGTAGCTAATTGGCATGACTATCTCTTTGGCACTTCTTGGTGACATGAGAGACAGAATATTAGGCTGGGTAGATGAGGGATGTGATTTAAGGTGAGGACTCAAATGTTTTTACTTCAAATTATTTTAAGACTTTGTATTTAAAGTATTTGAGTATTAAGTATCTATTAATTTAAGACTTGCTGATTTTAATGTTTTATATTTTGAAACCTGTGTAATATTGAAATGTAGAGTATTACAGAATTTAAGTTTTAGTCTCCCATTCCTTAGACAGCCATTTTAATTTTTAAAAATTGCAAAGGAGTCACAGTAAAAGCTAAACCTAGGACTTTTCAACTTAACTCTACAATCATCAAAATCTAAGTTTCTTAACTGCCACTAAAGTGGAGATTAAAGTATATATTAAGATTTAGATTTGATTTCTTTAAGAAGTGACTAGAAGTAAAGCTAGAGAGGAGCAGACTTATTAAGTTGCTTTAAAAAAGTAAAATCCCACTAAAACATAACTAGTTGGGGAAAAACAACTTGAACACAGTAAGTCGACATAAGACAAAGGAACATCCACAGGAAACACTGCTGTCATTCACTCTAGAGAAGTCCACACGGTGTCATCCACATACTTGAATAGTTACTGTCTTAGGTTAAAAGACTTTTAAACATAGAAAGTAAATGTTCTTTTTGAACATGGTTCAGACGATGTTCTCACCAGATTTATCAATCCCACACTTAGGCACTATAAGGAGGAGTATACTGAAACCAAATTATTTTTATAATTTCAAAAATAACCTCTCAAGTCTTTTGCCAAATGAATGAACACATAAAGTTGATTATCTGTCTTCTTCTATCTCCAAAGTAGTGTCCGTATACATGTCACATTTTATACAGACAACTAATATAAATCTCTTGAAAATATGAAAATGTTCTAACTCTAATTGCTACATCACAAAGAAGATCTAGGAAAGAAGCTTAGTTGCAAGGCATCTGTGGGATAGTTCAAGTTTTACAATGTAAATTTTAAAAGACCCAATACAACAAATTACTCAACACTAAACAGTTGAAGTTGATATTTGCCAAATTGAGTTCATTGGATTTATGCTCTTAAAAGCAAAGCAAAACAAAAACCGAAACACTGTCAAGCCTAAGTCCAAAAGAACTAAATTCTGGACCCCTTAATTACTTAATGCCTTAAATCCAAAGTCTGTGTGAGAGAAAATGTAGAAAAATGCATAAACTCAGTTCTTTTAATCATTTCTTAACAGTAGCATTTTTAGTGAGGTGAATTCAAATTATTGGTGATTTGAGGAAACAAATTTTGGGATTTTTAGCCTTATGTTCTTTCTCCAAGTGTCCATGGTTTATAAAAAAGCCAACATATGCTTCAGATAAATTGGGAAGAGGATTACCTAGTATGTTCAATCACACATCAGATGTATTCAATCATGTGCTCTCCTGTATTACTATGACAGACCACTGGAATACCAAGTCAGTTCATCTGCAGTGCCCTAGCATCTGCTTACATGCCCCATAAACCTACTTAATGTCCCTTTAAAGGAAAGAAACAGACAACACACAAACTCGAAGTACAGTTTTGAAACATACAGGCTGCAGACATCTGTTATGATTCAGGACTACCAAAACCAAACAGAAATCTAATTTAGAAGTCCTCACACTCAATGGGTTGGAGTCATATAACCTCTCAAGGTAGGAATATTGCTTCTTTGCCTTTGGCGGAAATAAAAAAAAAAGTTACCTTATATTGTATGACATGCCATCTTAAATTCTCATCTCAAAGTGACTTTGACTCAAAAAATATAATTAAATCAAAAAATTCCCTTAATTATACTCCTACAAAGTTGTTTAATAAGGGAATTACTTAATTTGTGAACATGAAGTTGGGCTGATTTTAAAAATTATGATGATTAGTAACAAAAAAACCTTGTATTGACTGTTAAACGTAGCGAAAGTATATATGTATGTATGTACAGACAGAGAAAAAAGACTGAAATAATGTACACCAAAATGTTAACAATGATTTTGGTGTATTTAAATTATTTTCTGCTCCTGTTTTCTGATAATATAAATTTATTATAAAGTGAAATGATTTTTAAAGTAACTCAATCCCATAAATCCTTCCTAGATTGGTATTAAACAGAGACAGCATTTTTATATTGAAATTTGGACCCAAACCTTTAGTTAGGCCACAAATACTAAGATTTACCTTAAATATATCATTTCCACATCATCCAACAACTATTATTTCCAAAACCATCAAATTCTGGAAACTAGAATCGGCACAAAACATACTATAAAGTGTTTCCTTAATTTTATCTTAAGCTATTAAAACGGATATATATTATATATAACAACTACGTGTCTTTCAACTTATTGTTCTAAGCTTCCTTTTTATGAATTTGGATCTGTAGTCGTTCTTACTACTTTTACCGATTGAGAAAAACAGTTTACTTTCAGTATTTGCCTGTAACAAAGAAAGAAAACCAAAATAACCATATTATTTGCTGTATCCCCAAACAACACCCTCTAAATTTTACCCCTGATTTAAAAACAATCTAAACGGCTGATAAAAAAGCAAAGCATTTACTTTATAACGCCCCTATTAATGTGTTCCATGCACCATGAGACTAAGTTCTCCCCCAACCTTTTTATTAATGGTTCCTGATAATCATCTCTTTTTAAAATTCCCATCTATCTTTATAAAGGGTATGGAGTATACCTAAAATGCTCTCTAAACATTCATATTCCTTAATTGTCACCCAACAAATACAATACAAATTTAAAATGGTTCTATGTAAGTGATTTGTACAAATATCCACGACAAAACTACCATAAAACTCTAAAAAACATAAAATTAGATGTTTATATTTGATGGGTAAAAGCTGTAAAAATATCCAAATAATCTAAGAATTTCAAAATGCTTTTCTGTGTTTATTTCACAGGAGTTGGGGCCAGGATGAGAAAAAAAAAAAAAAAAAAAAAGTCAATATTAATAAAATGAATTAGCTCAAAGCTCAGAATTTTACTTACCTTTTCAGTCTGGAAACAAACAAGAAAAGTTCTTAAGATATTGACTCCTTTTCAAATACCTTCTTCTTAAGATTCTTCGAGCAAATATAAAATAAGAATTAGAAATTCACAACTTGGATAATGTTAGCTAAGATTTTATAAACCAGCAACATGCAAATAACAATGACAGAAAGAATGGACAAAAAGTTAAGTGTGGAAAGACTTACAGTATTTTCACTTTCATTATCAGTTAAATTTTCTAGCAACATGCTGGAGTAGGTGTCTCCTGTCTGAGAAAAGAGCGTTATAAATCCAGTGATCACAAATTATATTTCTCTATATAAAAAAGTAGGAAGTCAGATAACCTTCTCAATAAATTAATATGATAACTTTAATTCATATTTTTAAAGTTAACCATTAGCTTTTTTGCTCAAGTATTCCAAATTATTTTGGTCTGCAATTTATAAATTAGTTAATTTACTAAATTGATCTCAAAAAGAAGGCTTCAGAAGGTATGAGTCAATGACACTAAAATCACAAATCCTCTCGCAGAAAAGTTTGTATAGTATAGAATGCAACACAGTGCCGTTTACAAAGAGGCAAAAATTATCAACAATCTAAATGCTAGCAATAAGAAATCTCTTAAAGAATTACAGTGAATCAGTAACAGAATTCTATGTAGCCATTTTAAATGAGACCACAAGAAGACCATTTATTCATTTTTGAGAAGTCATATTTCTGCTTTAGAATGTGAAAAAGTTATCAATTCTTTTCACCCAAAACCATATATATATGTACATATAACTACAAAGAATTATATACGGAATTTCAGGGCTTGGGGATTTCATAAAAAGAGCCATCCTTGGATCGATAAGGGTCCAAAGAACTGAGTTAAAGATTCCTTTCTATTAAAAATATTCAATGCATGAGAAAATATTGACAATACAGTGTTAAGTAAAAAAGTGAGTTACAAACAGAGAAGTGGTTTACTCCATTTTTCTAAAACACACGTATATATGCACACATAACATATATACAGTAAAGAAACAAAAGACTGCAAAACATACACAACATAAAGTGTGATCATGGCGTGATGTTTCACTAGAATGCTGAGATCAAGAGATATTTCTCTGCTTATCAAAATTTTCTATAAGCATGTTAAGTTTTTATTTATAAAAAACTAATACCTAATATTAGTTTTTACAATTCTGAAAAAAATTATCATAGGGAAAAAAAGTCAAAGGGAGTCAGAAGAATAAATTTAATTGATTTAAAGAGAGGTATAAGCTTTCTTTTGGGAGTGATAAAATGTTTAAGGTGACTGTGGTGATGGCTGCACAATTCTGTGAATACAATGAAAACCACTGAATTTTATAATTTAAATGGGAGAACTGTATGGTATGTGAATTCTATTTCAATAAGAAACATACCAGAAGAATATATAGATATGTTACATATATATAAATATAATGTACAAAGAGTTTAAACTCAAAAAGTGTATATTTTATTAGAATCAGCAAAATTAAGTATAACCAAAGTTTTGAGATGAAAAATAAAAATACATTTCTATAAAATGGTTTTCACATAGAACTACTTATGAAACATTAAAGGTAGGGATTCATGACTGACAAAATTCAAAGAATTATTTCCATTTTCAAATATACACCAATAATTTCTACAGTTTAAAAATAATGTATCCTTCAAGTGAGAAATATCACTATTAAAATGAGTGCTTAGTGTTAATGCCTTACTTGTTTTGTGATCTCGCTCTCTAAGAAGATGTTCTAAAGCTAGTTTTACACTTTTGAAAGTGTCTAATTCTTTTGTTAATATTTCCTTCTGTTAGGAAGTCTTCAAATTCGATGCTGAAAGATTCGCCTGACAAATTACAAGAACCACATACACATTTTAAGATACAACATTAAGTAAAACCCTCTAAAATATGATACTATCAAACATATTTTCCTAACAAATCATTCTTTTTGTGCATAGTAATGTTACAAATTTGTAAATTGGATCTGTTATACAGTACATTAAAATAGTAGAAATCAAAATAAGAAGCTTATATTTAAAAGCATTTTAGGCTTTTAAATAAAAAAGTTATAGAAGATAATCTATTGTTTGTCCTAATTTAAACTTTAATACGCTGGAACTTAAAAAACTGGTTCTCTATTCCAAATAATACTATCGAAAACTGATACATTTCACCTCTCAGAAGATTTTAGTTTTAAATTCGCTCTTCAGAAAAGCTGATTTTCTAGTTCAACTCAGTTAATTCAAGCACCCAAATATATTGTTTCTAGTAGCCTCTTATCAGGTGTATGCCTGAGATTATCTCAGGAAAAGAATTGTAGTTAATGACACGGGAATAAAGAATTCTGATAAACCCTCATTTTCGGTATTAAATACTCATACATGAGCATACCTACATAAGATATGAGACCTCAGTTAATGCATTCTGAGTAATACACTAGCTTTTCATTTTATTATATATTCATAAGTCACTCACATTTTCAAAATTAATCTTTTCAATGGTGTCCTTAAATAATTGGCAAAAGTAATTCTATAGAACAAGTTACCAACTCCGCTTCCTTAAGTGTAAGCTTCCAATTCAGTCTTTTCATTTAGGATGTCCTGCTTCAGGCTAATTACAAATGCACATACAAAATTTAAGTTAAATTCAACTTAATTTAAAAGATGCTCCTCAATGCCATATCACGTATACAGTACTCTTACTATGAGACAACTTTAGTCCAAAAGTAGCTGAAACTTGGACTTTAGTGTAAACAAATTTTAAGAATATCTTATTTTACTTATATTTTACTTGTATGTAATCACAAAAGTTATTTGGGTTAAAGATACATGTATAGTTAAGTTTGAAGGAGCATTTTCAATATTTATAAATAAAATTCCAAGTGATATGGAAACTCTTTAATTGTAGCTTTTTCTCTTTCTTTTGTAAACATAACGGCTCATTAACAACTGGCCATCCTAGAGGCTATGTCAAAAATATGTGTTAAGTTAACTGGCTTAAAGTAAGGAGCTGGGAACATTCTATCTATAAATGACACCTGTCCCTTATTAAAACCATAGGCAAGAAAGTCAAGTATGATTATAGATGATAAAATATTATTTTCATTTATAACAAGTTAAACCAGAAGCTGGACTAAGCTATCCATACTGACAGTAATGGTATACTAAGATTGCCACTTGGCAGGGGGCAATATTTCATGTAAATAACAAGTGTATTCCCCACTCTAAAGAAGTATGACAAGTATTTGCTATATAATAATATGCAAATGACAGTGATTTCACATGCATTAACTCGTTTCTGATATCACATATTATTACATTTCATTTATCTTAAATAGCTTTATTTCTGAAATTCTTAACAGATAGAGGTTTTCATTTTATTTTTTCTTTTTTTTGAGATGGAGTCTAGCTCTGTCATGAGCTCTGTCACCCAGGAGTGTAGTGGTGCTATCTCGGCTCACCGCAACCGCAACCACAACCTTACACTCCTGGGTTCAAGTGATTCTTCTCTGCAGCCTTCCAAGTAGCTGGAACAACAGGCACACGCTACCACATCTGGCTAATTTTTGCATTTTTTCACTAGAGATGGGGTTTCACTATGTTGACCAGGCTGATCTTGAACTCCCGACCTCAAGTGATCCACCTGCCTCATCCTCCCAAAGTGCGGGATTGTATGTATGAGCCATTTGCACCCAGCTAGGTTTTCATTTTTAATTGCTTTCATTCAGATTCAAAAACTGGCACAGACACCTTTAGATGAGTACCTTTGTAAATCGATTAAATATATTTTAATAAATAAATACTAGATTTGAAAAGAATGCTCTCAAAAGAATGCTGTATTTGATTCAGATAATTTATATTATGGACAAAACAGAAGTGTAAATCAAATTTAGATTTCCCCTGATACTGATGAAATAATACCAGCTGAGATGACTTTCACTTTTCAGTACACCGTAGGTAAATCTTCTTTCTCTGATATAGTTTTAAGATGGGAAAAGAGTTCTTCTGAATGACTTCCATCATTTATAGCCGTCTCCATAAATTCAGTAAATGGATTTACAGGTGGCTTCACAGCAACTTCTCCACACAAGCTGAAACCTAGGAAATATTTTAGTTATTAAATTTATCTCAATGGGAATTTTTGTCATTACTCTCATAAAAAATAAAGGTTATAAGGATGTTTATGATGCACATTTCAAAGACAAAATAAAGTATAACTGACTACTCATTGTGTGATACTAATTCAAAAATTGTATCAAAATTGCATAGCATAACCACTCAACAATAGCCAATTTCCTTACACTGTTTCCAAAAGGCCATGACAATTCCACAAATAATCACAACAATTGCAAATCTTTATTAGTCTATATTTCAGCGAAGTATTACAATATTTGAACCCAGCAGGACTATAAAACAAATATAAAAACCATGGGTTACTTATAGTTTGTCTTATTAGGTATGCATAAGTATGTATGTTATTATGCCTAAATCTCTGTAGAAATCTAACTTTTCAAAGACTTGGCAACAATAGCTACAAAGGATAGGATATTCAATTGCAAGCAGACTTTTCAAAAGTAAATTCCGCCCTCTCTTCCAACTCAATCTAGAATATTGGTGATAACGAAAAGAACAGACAGACATTACTTCCAGATTTTACTAATGTAATTGTTTTTACTCACACCTGTAGATGTCACTTTAAAAATGTGAATATTTATGAATTTCTTCAAAACTACTCCAATTAAGTAATGGGTTAGAGCTTTGGCAATATTAAGGCTCTGTTTTTCCCAACTCTAACAATACATGGTAATGTGTTCCCTGACTTCATTTTATGTTTACACAAATCAAAGAGTTATATTCAAGGTTTTCTACATTTTTCAGATATTTACCTCTTGTAATTTAGTTTGTATGTCTATATTACAAAACATATTATATTCAAGAATTTTAACACTTAAGAGCTAAGTGATAATGTTACAGGTTGAAAGGTGTTTATATTAGCCATTCAGGAAACCTTCCAAAGTGTTCATAAAATGTACTTATTTTATCTGAATGTCCTATATACTATGGGAACAAATATTTAGGAAACAGGCCAATGAAGTATGGTCAAATTTTTAAATGTAGAAAGTAGAGTCCAAAAGGAACTGCTAAGTAACCAACTTAGTCTAGGATGATTCCCTTGAATGCTGCAAATATGCAACATCTATTACAAGGGTATAACAATATTTTACAGGCTATCTATAGACTAGAAGAATTACAAGTATACAAAATCAAATAAAAAACCAAACTAAAAGTTAAAGAATATGCTAGGGATAAGTCACTGCAATCAGAGAACCATCATCTACTAATTCATTCAGTTGCAGAGCTATCCTTACGAAAGCAGCAGGTACCAGCCTTCACTTGTTTTAAATATTAAATGTGTTGTCTCTCTGTGGACTGGAATCTCAAGAAAGAATGTCTTTGTATTTCAATTCTCAGCACCTACAACCTGCGCAAACTAAACAAAATTGAAGGAAAACACATAGCAGCTAGAGCTCTTAAAAAATATAATGACTAAAAACTGTTTACCTTTTTAGAATTCACCTTGATTTGTCTTTTCAGGGATCATTAAAGAAAAATGGTTCCTATATTTGCAATAAAGGTTAAAAAACAATGTAAGAAGACAGAAATTTTCAATTTGTAAAAATATTTTACAAAGATAAATTTAGTTTTGGTATCGGTATTTTTTTTTAAATTTATTTATTATTAAATATACTTTAAGTTGTAGGGTACATGCATAACGTGCAGGTTTGTTACATATATATCTTGTGCCATGTTGAGGTGCTTTTACATCAACTCGTCATTTACATCAGGTATAACTCCCAATGCAATCCCTCCTCACCTCCCCAGTAGGCCCAGGTGTGTGATGTTCCCCTTCCCGAGTCAGAGTGATCTCATTGTTCAGTTCCCACTATGAGTGAGAACATGCAGTTGTTTAGTTTTTCTGTTCTTGTGATAGATTTGCTGAGAATGATGGTTTCCAGTTGCATCCATGTCCCTACAAAGGACACAAACTCATCTTTTTTTATGGCTGCATAGTATTCCATGGTGTATATATTGCCACATTTTTCTTATTGATCTGTCACTGATGGACATTTGGGTTGATTCAAGTCTTTGCTATTGTGAATAGTGCTGCAATAAACATACGTGTGCATGTGTCTTTATAGCAGCATAGTTGCACTGAAAATCTTGGAGTATATACCCAGTAATGGGATGGCTGGGTCATATGGTACATCTAGTTCTAGATCCTTGAGGAATCGCCATACTGTTTTCCATAATGGTTGAACTAGTTTACAATCCCACCAACAGTGTAAAAGTGTTCCTATTTCTCCACATCCTCTCCAGCACCTGTTGTTTCCTGACTTTTTGAATGATACATGCATTCTAACTGGTGTGAGATGGTATCTCATTTGTGGTTTTGATTTGCATTTCTCTGATGGCCAGTGATGGTGAAGCATTTTCATGTGTCTGTTGGCTGTATGAATGTCTTCTTTTGAGAAATGTCTGTTCATATCCTTTGCCCACTTTTTGATGGGGTTGTTTGTTTTTTTCGTAGAATTTGTTTGAGTTCTTTGTAGGTTCTGGATATTAGCCCTTTGTCAGATGAGTAGATTGCAAAAATTTTCTCCCATTCTGTGAGTTGCCTGTTCACTCTGATGGTAGTTTCTTTTGCTGTGCAGAAGCTCTTTAGTTTAATGAGATCCCATTTGTCAATTTTGGCTTTTGCTGCTGTTGCTTTTGGTGTTTTTAGACATATGAAGTCTTTGCCCATGCCTATGTCTGAATGGTACTACCTAGGTTTCCTCTGGGGATTTTTATGGTATTAGTTCTGGCTGAGGCAATCAGGCAAGAGAAAGAAATCAAGGAGATTCAGTTAGGAAAAAGAAGGAAGTCAAATTGTCCCTGTTTTACCCAGATGACGTGATTGTATATTTGAAAACCCCATTGTCAGTTCTGGCTAGGGCAATCAGGCAAGAGAAAGAAATCAAGGGGATTCAGTTAGGAAAAGAAGAAGTCAAATTGTCCCTGTTTGCAGATGACATGATTGTATATTTAGAAAACCCCATTGTCTCAGCCCAAAATCTCCTTAAGCTGATAAGCAACTTCAGCAAAGTCTCAGGATACAAAATTAATGTGCAAAAATCACAAGCATTCTTATACACCAGTAACAGACAAACAGAGAGCCAAATCAGGAATGAACTTCCATTCACAATTGCTTCAAAGAGAATAAAATACCTAGGAATCCAACTTACAAGGGATGTAAAGGACCTCTTCAAGGAGAACTACAAACCACTGCTCAGTGAAATAAAAGAGGACACAAACAAACGGAAGAACATACCATGCTCATGGATAGGAAGAATCAATATCGTGAAAATGGCCATACTGCCCAAGGTAATTTATAGATTCAATGCCATCCCCATCAAGCTACCAATGAGCTTCTTCACAGAATTGGAAAAAACTGCTTTAAAGTTGGTATCGGTATTTTATACACAACTTTTCTAAAAGTTTTATCATAAAACAAAGTCATAAAATTTTTCTGCTTCATCACCTATAATTGGTAACTGCCACTTATCTTAAAGGGTAAACAAATAAATAATAAAATCAATACACTGTAAAAACAGGAATTCAGAATGACTTTCTACCTAACATTCTAAAATGGAATCTACATTACTGATTTCTCAACACACAAGGAAGAGAACTATTTGTCTCAGGTATTTCCATGAAAATTGTCAACAATCATCTTCTCCAGGATAAATACTGTTCAGATTCCAAGGCACTCCACTGCTTTTGTGTTGTGATAACTGTATAACAAAAAATATGTTGAACAAAAATGTAATAATTTTCTTTAGCATAAAAAGTCCTACTTTATAAGAAATGCTATTGTTTTATTGGATCAAATGTATTCTTGCGTAGAAAAGCAGACATTTCACAATAAGATGTTTTTAGTAATGTAGAATATACTGTTAACTGACAAATGTATTGTACTTTTGTACAACTTGTCAGTGGTGGGTGAAACAAAGACACATTCTGTATACATGTTTAATGATCAAATCCTTTTAAAGATAACTTAAAAATTCTTCAAACTGAACGATAAGACTGACACAATCTATCAAAACCTCTGGGATACAGCAAAGGTGGTGCTAAGAGAAAGGTTCATAGCCTTAAACGCCTACATCAAAAAGTCTGAAAGAACACAAACAGAAAATGTAAGGTCACATCTCAAGAAACCAGAGAAACAAGAACAAAACAAACCCAAACCCAACAGAAGACAGGAAATAACCAAGATCAGAGCAGAACAAAATGAAACTGGAAACAAAAATACAAAAGATAAATGAAACAAAAAGCTGGTCCTTTGAAAAGATAAATAAAATTGATAGACCATTAGCAAGATTAATCAAGAAAAGATTCAAATAAGCTCAATTAGAAATGAAACAGGAGATATTACAACTGACACCACAGAAATACAAAAGATCACTCAGGCTACTATGAACACCTTTATACACATAAACTAGAAACCCTAGAGGAGATGGATAAATTCCTGGATACAACCCTCCTAGCTTAGATCAGGAAGAATTAAGACACCCTGAACAGACCAATAACAAGCAGTGAGACTGAAACAGTATTTTTAAAATTACCAACCAACAAAAAAAAGTCCAGAACCAGACAGATTCACAGCTGAATTCTACCAGACATTCAAAGAAGAATTGGTACCAACCCTATTGACACTATTCCACAAGATACAGAAAGAGAGAATCCTCCCTAAATCATTCTATGAAACCAGTGTCACCCTAATACCAACACCAGGAAAAGACATAACCAAAAAAGAAAACTACAGACCAACATCCCTGATGAACACAGATGCAAGAATTCTTAAAAGGTCAGGCGTGGTGGCTCACACCTGTAATCCCAGCACTTTGGGAGGCCAAGGTGGGTGGATCACAAGGTCAGGAGTTCAAGACCAGTCTAGTGAAGATGGTGAAACCCTGTCTCTACTAAAAATACAAAAATTAGCTGGGCATCCTGTAATCCCAGGCTGAGGCAGAAAAGTGCTTGAATCGGGAGGC